CAGAGTTGGTCATTGAGGTGAGTAAGTACTCCTCTTGATGACCAGTTCTGAATGGTCGTCGAGGAAGGGGAGTAGATACTTTTCTCAATGACCAATGTTGAACGGTCATCGAGGGGAGTACTTACTCGCCTCGATGACTCAATCTGACCTTTCTTCAATGACTCTCTGTCAGCTCCTGGCAGCTAGTAGGCATTGAAGGATGCGGGTACTTCCCCCAATGACCGCACTGCTGGAACTAACTGCTTGGATCAGCAGGTCCGACGAAACCTTAGACCGGCCTGTCCAAGAAGTCCTCGGACATGGCTGTCCGACCAGATGTCGAACGAGCTTGTCCGAGCAGTAACCAGTTGGTCCATATCTGCACGGACAGGTGGGTCCGACTTCTTATCGGCCGACCATGTCCGAGAACTGCTCAGACAGGCCGGTCGATGGACTTGTCTGCCTGCCGGTCCGAGCAGTTAGTTCCGGCAGTGCCGGCTTCTAATACTATGTATTGATCCAAGAGCATCAAGGCAGGAGACAAACATTCCTCCATCTTGACTTTTCTGGAGGCATTGTGGTCGGATAGGGTACATAGATGTGATGCCGGGAGGGCCACAGACTGCCACAGAGCCGATTGCAACGGGGGCCGATTGTTTTTTCTTGGCTGTTATGCATTATGCGCTTCCCGATTTGGATTATTCGGTAGTGATGTTTCACATTTCAGAATGTGAAATACAGAAATCTGTATTTTGAATGGAATACAGAATTCTGTATTTTCAAAAACTCATTTTTCATTTTTCAATCTGATGAGCTGATTGGTGTCCCCTGTGGGCTTCCGTAGATCAAAGTTCAATTTTTTTTTTGCAGGCGCGGGGTAGTCGAGAAGAGCCGATGCGCACTGTATGTACTGTAAACGTAACGTGTTTCTAGTTCGCTGTTCTTTCCCACATCTGCGAGAGCCCACCTACACATTATCATCTGATGAATACAAGTGTTTCGGCTCTTTTTAACGATGGCCACGTCTTGACAAAACCGGGAAGGTTGATGTGTGCCTGATCCCGTTGAGGAACTTCACGAGCGTTTGAGCGTCATGCAGCGATGTATTCACCCAGTTGGGGGTTTAATCCGAAGAATTCGTACTCGTCTGGTTGAAAATGCACACATGGGTTTGATTTGAACTCTTCTACAAACAGCAGGACAAACGACACCGGCGTGTTGCCCCAAATTATCAGTGCCCTTCACCTGGAGAATAGTTCGACATGCGAGTATTTCAATCAGTTCTGACGAATGTTAGATTCGTTCTGTTTCTTTCAAGCTATCACCCACTCTATGCTTCTATTATTACCCCGGGGTCTCTCCATGATGCGGAAGCCGTCGGATCCTTTACTCCAGATGCCCGAGCGGGAACGGTTGGGACGCAAGGCTTGCAAAAAGAGCCCATGGCGACGACTGGAGCAAACAATCTGGCACATCTGAATGTACCCCACTCCGGACGCCGTTCATCTTATCTGAACACGCCTCCCTTAAAAGAACTTACCGAGAAAATGCGTAAAGCGGTGAGTGTTCTTTCCGTCCGGAATCTTGAAGATTATGACAAGCTGAGCAAAAGATCAACGCGGACGACTTGAAAAGGCGACCAGAACCAAGATGACCTTGGTGGATTCCTACCCCGACCTCAGGGATCAATTCTACGATGCGTGAGCCGGTATTGCTAAACTGTGCCTGCATAGCTCGTCCATTGAATCACGCTCACGCTGTTCTTCCCTTTTCCGCCCCGACTGAGCCCAATTGTGTAGTTCCCCCGTGACCATTTACAAAGATCTCAAAACCGGCAGGGAAATGCGTACTCAGGCTCGCTCTACTGACAAAATGGAAGAATACAGTAAACCCTTTCCGCTTGGAATTTACATTTTCACTGTGATTTCCTCTCATCACGTGCTTCTTCGCTCCCTTCCTTTTCTTTTTCTAGGGAAAGTAAGAGATGAGGTCTCCGAAGCTTATGAGAAAGCCACGAAGCATGAAAACACTTTGAATCTGGACAAGATAGCAAATGATTATGAAAGGAGACTATCCCTCGGTCCCTATTATCGTGATTGGCCGGCCGAGGTATCGGGGAAGTCTTGGCTAGAAGACTACTTACTACAACTGAAGCTTCGCCAGTCTGCTATTAATGAACTTGAGAAGGTTCAGCAAGCTTGGGAATCCTTGGATTTTTCCAGAGGCCTCAGCCAAGCAGAAGAAGAGGTGAAAGCTGAGGTTTCCGACTTCCTCAAAAGGGCTGCTCAACCGGGTTTTGTGTACAAATTCCGGCCGGAATACGACCAAATGACTTTGAGAGTCAATTCCCAGTTGCGCAAATGGTCACCAAACGCTTCTATTGACCCCAAAATATTTTTTCCAAATGTGCCCACATTGGACCACTTCGAGGAGTATATTACCTCGAGTTCATTCATTCTAGCCCGTGCGGTTCAGTTGAAGAAACGGCCGGCCCCAGAGAGGATCACTCATGATGACTTGGTGACGGTGGAGCAAGTTATACAAACGTTGCCCCCAGAATTCGACTTAGAGGAAGAATTGCACCATTACGCAATGATAAAAGCCTTCGAAAAAATCTTGGAAGTTGTGCGCCGGGAAGCAACTCAACTTCTCAAGGAACGATTCAAGCGGCGCCCCGATAAGCTCTTAGACTCAACTCAAACAGAGCCTCAATTAAGAATTATCTTTGATAGTAGGACCGAACAAGACATTGCGTGGGTTGATAAGATTTTTCAGTATATTTACCACACGACTCCCACAGAATTGATTGAACAGCTAAGGGGTGCGCCCGATGACCAAGTCGAAATGCGCGCTACCCTTGACCGGAACGCCGAACAACTTGCCTCCCTGTCCGAGGGTGACAAGAAAGCCCTTCGGGATGCTTCGTCGGATCGTCAAACCTTCCTTAAAACACTCGACGAGATTGCGGCACACGCCCCCCAAGAGCTCTACTCCACAGTAAGACGTATCAAAAAGGAGATTGCCAGCTTAAAGATTCCTGTTGAGTACGAGCTTGTCGACGCATTACACCAGCGGGGCATAATTGATCACGCGACCCGATCAAAGTTAACCTCCGCTTCCTCCCGGCAAAACTTCCTGCAAAACGAATTTCGAACGACTGTGATGTCTGAATTCAAGGGTTTCTTAGTCGAAGAATTGCAAAGGAACAAACTTAATCGACTCGGAAGTCCTGAAGCCAAAATCTTGGACGCAACCGCTGGGCTGCTTGCCCAGACAGTTGTTAATCAGCTCAACAAGGATGCTCAAAAGTTTTACATGGAAGCATTTCTAAGCTCCGAATATGGATTTGACAAAGCTATGAGCTTCTACGATCCTAACCATCTAAAAAATTTCGATAGCCTCGTCATAGATGAACAAACGAGATTCAAAGCCTACGTTGAAGCCTGTTTTGGTCCGGACCCCTCTGATTACCGTCCAACTCGGGTGCAATACACCTCAATTATTGATAGATTTCTGTCTGAAATCAAAATACCTCAATTTGGGAGTAAATCGCGTAAGTAAAATCGGATTTTCTCCGAATCATACCTTTAACTCTTCCTGACTTGTTGGTTTTATTTTAGACACTCTTGCCAAAATGAACATTCGTAGTCCTGGTCTTCCAAAAGGATCACCGGACGAAATATTGGTCAAAAGACTACCTAATTTTGACGAGAGGCTTTCAACGATATTCCTGAAACCGTTAGCAATGGGTGATTGGCGTTTGGTGGATACCTTATTCGAAAGATTACCCGAGAAAGCGGTTACAAACCTGAATGCAGCAGCAAAAACAATTTACACTAATCGCCGAAGAATTCCTGAACTGGAGGAGAAAATTAAGATATTGACTGAGGGCATAGGGCGATACGAAGAAAGCACTCTGTCCAGAAAGCTTCCAGCAGTGAAAACCATAATGGAATCCGTATTGGAGGCCTTGAAGCGCCACGAGAAAAACTTCATGCACTCAGATACGGGAACTAGACCCACCTAAAACATGCATCACCTTCTCCGCTCAGTCATGACGCCAGAGGAATTCCGCGACTCAGATATAAAAACTTGTCACTGATTCATTGCAGCAGTTGTCCGCAAGATGTGTGCTGAGCCGGTGATCCTCAATCAAATTTCGTTTTTTCCTATTCATGTAAATAAAAAACAATTATTTTCATGAAATTGCTTGATGAGTTTTCCTTCTTTTTTTGGAATAAAACAACAGCCCCCCTTGAATATTGTTTTGCATCAAGTTCTCCAGCAAGATTTTGACAGATGAATGAATGGGGATGAAAGAACAACAATGTGCTTCGCTTTTTCAAGTTCGTCCAATCACTTTTCATGCTGGTAACAGTATCATCAACAGGGATTCCACAAGAATTCAACAAAATATTACATTACTTTACGTGTAGGTCACGGTGCCTTAGCTAGCCTGAAGCTTTGGGGCCTGTTGAAACACCACTTGTTTAAATTCAAATCTCTGCACTAATCCTGTCCAATCACCCTGAGTTAGTCACCATTTCCTTTTTTTTTGTGTTGATTGTCGATTTGTCTGCTTCTGCCTTCCTCTTGTGTCAATTTGTGTTTTTCCTTTGCATAATTCTTCTTTGTAATATATCCAAATTTCGACAATCAGTTCAAAATCTATCATTCAATTTCTTCAATGTGAAGTAACTCTGTAATGCATCGCACCGGCTACCATTTTGGGGCCTGCGCACTTAGCATCAGTACAAACACACAACTCGGGAAAAACGGGTGAACCAAAGAGCTCCGCCGTATGCGACGCGAGCGCTAATGGTACAGCTGGTAGCCTTTGAATGTGCGTTCTCGCGACTAAGAACATGCCTCGTGAGTGAGAGCCCAGAGGGCAGCCTGCAACTGTCCCTCCCTTGCGGGAGGGCCTCCAGGCTCAGGGAACTTCTGTGATGATATGGATGTAATACATAAATACTGTAAACAAAACACATTCCTAGTTCGCTAATCCTCCTGCCACTGGGCAGTGGGATAACTGGCTACATACATGTTTGAAGAATGGCAATCCGCTTCCTGTTGTGTTCAAGTTCAAATTGTTGGTAAGAAGTTTTGGCTCCGGCTCCTTGTGACTTGCCCACGCATTGAGACACATATGTACAACCGGAAAGAGAGGTCAAGTCCCTTCGCAGAACTTCGCCAGATTGTATTTTTACCCTGATTGACATAAAGAGTGTTTGACCCAGGGCCCACCAGGGTCCTGTCCAGCTTTTACACCGAGTAATTTGCACTCGTCTGGTGGCCAGCAACTTCAGAAAGGAGCTGAACATAAAATTTTCATATAAACATATACTCCGCAATCACGAAGAAGAACAATCGCGGCGTCCTCTGTCCATCTCCTTCGGCACGAGACAATTCAATATGCGAGCATTTCGATCAGTTCTGACAAATTTTGGACTTGCTGTGTTTCTTTCAAGTTATTACTCACTCTACGCTTCCATTACCCCACATGCGGTTCCACATGATGCGGAAGTTGCCGGCTCCATTAATCAAGGTATCCGACAGGGGGAGGCTGTTGCGATGGAAGGCTTACGACAAGAGCCCATTGCGACTCCCACTGGAGTAAACAGCCTGCCGCCGCTGAAAGATACCCACTCCGGACGCCGTTCATCTTATCTGAACACGCTTCCTTTAAAAAAACTGGGGGAGAAAGTGCGTGTAGCGGTGAGTGTTTCTTCAGTCTGGAAATTTAACGTATGAGCTGAGCAAAATGTTAACACCGACTTGACTTGAAAAGACGACCAAAGCAAAGATGTCCATGGTGGACTCCTACCCCGACCTACGGGATCAATTGTATGACATGTAAGCTAGTCTTTCCAGAATGTGCCTACATTGCAGCTTCATCAGCCCAGTTCACGTAGCCAGCCGTCGGCAGTCAAAAGATAGTACAATCCCTCCAAGACTTTCCCGACTCGAAACGTCACCAGCTTTTTTCTTCCACCTTCAAATACCTCGGCACACCCTCAATCACCCTCAGCATACCCCCTACGTGAACTGGGCTATGCTGATTCACAGCACATACCCTTGAGCTTCCCTTTTCCTCCGTGACTGAATCCAATTCTGTAGTTTGCCCTCGACAATTCTCACAGATCGCCAATACGGCAAGGAAATGCGTGTTCGGCTTCGCTCTTCTGACAAAATGAAAGAATACAGTAGATTTATTTCACCTTGACATCTATACATCCCACAGGAATCTCCTCTCACACATCAATTTTTTTGGTTCCCTTGATCATTTTTTAGGGAAAGTAAGAGATGAGGTCTCGGAAGCCTATGCGAAGACAAGGTATCCTGAAGACACTTTAAAACTAGACGATCTAGCAAGGGAGTTTCAATCGAAACTGTCTCTCGGCCCCTACAATCCTAATCGGTCCCGCATGATATCTGGGAAGTCTTGGCTAGAAGATTACTTGCTACAACTGAAGCTTCGCCAGTCCGCTTTCAATGAAATTCGAAGGGTGCAGAAAGCATGGGACTCCTTGCAAATTTCGACAGACTTGAGCCAAGCTGAAAAGGAAGTCAAAACTGAGGTGTCTGATTTACTCACAAGGGCTAGTACTCCCGAATTTCCCCACAAGTTCCAGCCGAAATACGACCGAATGACGTTGGGAGTGATTTCTCACTTGCGCAAATGGCCACTCAAATTGGTTGATCGCCCCCACCTTCAATTTCCAGATGTGCCCACATTGGATCGATTTAAGGATTCAATTGACTGGGACAAATTTGCTCTAGCCCGCGCGGTTCAATTGAATAAACAACCGGCCCCAGAGAAAATTGGGGATGATGATGTTTTGACGGTGGAAGAAGTCATCCAAAAGTTGCGCCCGGATTTCGACTTGGAGACAGAAATGCATCATTACGCAATGATAAAAATCTTCGAACGTCTCTTGACAGCTGTGCGCAGGGAAGCGACTAACCTTCTCCACAAACAATTTAGACGGCATCGCGCCACGCTGCTAGACTTATCACAGATGCATTCTTGGTTAGACCTAAGTTTTTCAAGTGACACCAAACAAGATATTGCGTGGGTCGAAAAGATTTTTAGTCATGTTTACGACACAACTCCCACAAAATTGATTGAACAACTGATGGGCGCGCCCGAGGATCAAATCGAAATACGCGCAGCCCTTGACCGGAACGCTGAATCACTTATCTCCCTGTCCGAGATCGACAAAAAGGCGCTCCGAGATTCTTCATCCGATCGTCAAACCTTCCTAAAAACACTTGGTGAGATCCAGCAGCACGTGACCCTCGAAGATTACATCGCACTAGGGACTATCAGACAGGAAATCGTCGCCGCAAAGACACCTGTTAACTACGCATTTGTCGACAAAATATTCGACAACGGGATGATTGATTCTGAGACCCAATCAAAACTGAAATCCGCGTCCCGAGAAAACTTCCTCAGAACCAAGTTCCTTGCGGTTCTGATGTCTAGGTTCAAGGAGAAAGTAGTTGAAAAATTGGAAAAAGCACGTCTTCAACCTGCAGGTGCCGGAGATTTAATTTTGGATGCAACCGCTATTCTGCTTGCCGAGATAAGTGTCGATCAGCTTGACAGGAAGGCCAAGAATTTCTATCTCACTCCGGAAGCGTTTCTGAACTCCGAATACGGATTTGAGGAAGCTTTGAGTTTCTATGATCCGGGCGGTCTGCAAAGTTTCAATAATATTTACATAGCTAAAAAGACGGTATTTCAAGCCTACGCTGATGGCTGTATCGGCCTGCACCCCGCACTTCGACGTCCAAGCCATTTTGACCACAGCTCAAAGATTAATGAACTACTATCTCAAATTAAAATACCACAATTTGGAAGCAGATCGAGTAAGTACAGGTGTATTTTGCCGTACCACACGCGTATTTGTGTAGTTTCTAACTTGTTCCTGACTTGTTGACTTTGGTACAGGCACTCTGCTCGACATGGGCTTTGGTTATTTACCTGCCTATCCCAAAGGATCACCAAACGAACTATTAGCCAAAAGATTAAAAGATTTTGACGAAAGGCTGTCAGCGATCTACCTGCAACCTTTAGCAGTGCGTGATTGGCGTTTGATAGACACCCCATTTGAAAGATTAACTGAGGATTCAGTAGCAAACCTGAATGAAGTGACCAAAAAAATTTACACTATTCGCCAAAGACTGCCTGAACTGGAAGAGGCACTAGCGAAATTGACTGAAGACATAGAGCAATACGAAGAAACAACTCTCTCCAGGAGGCTTGAAGGAGTGAAAAACACAATGGGATCCGTTTTGAAGGCCTTGAAGCGACACGAGGAGACCTTCATGCCCTTACACACGGAAACCCATGTAGAATGACCATAACCTCCACCCCTTATTCAAGGCACCAGGAAGATTTTCCTTTTTGAATGTTATTTACACTAATTTGTTATGTCAATCCTCCACAAGATGTGCGTTGAGCTAGTGCTCCACAAATGAATCTCCTGTTTCCTTATATTCACATCAAAAAAGAAACAATGTTATTCCTGAAACTTCTTGATTTTTTCCTCTTCTTCTTCTGAGGTACACAGCCTCCATAAAAAAAAATCAGAATCCTGCAGGAGATTGGGAGAGATACTAAGCCGCCAATTATAAAAGCTATTTTTAAAATATTTCCAAAACATTTTCAAAAGCTTTTGATTTATTTTGTAGGTGGCATTTTTGGAGAAAAAATCTCAAAACATGTTCAAAGGAGCCCATGGACCTCCTTTGGAAATGTTTTGAGATCAGCAGAGACTTTTGGAGCCAATAGGACAGTTCACGTCTGAACTTTGAGGCAAATTTACTGACATTTAATGAGCGGCAGCAACACTGAAACAGAGACAAGACAGTATAAGGCATTTATTTGTATTGTCTCAGAATTTGAATACCCAAAAATACTGGATTTGTGTTGTCTCACTTTCCTGAGACAATACACACATATTGTCTTTGGAAAGTGAAACAGATATTCTGTATCGTCTCAGACTATTGTCTCAGACTCAGAGGGATGATCCGACCAAAAATGTCTTTGATACACAAGATATTTGACTGTATTGAAGAAAAAAAGATAAAAGAAGACATTTTTTTCAATTGTAAATCCAAATCCAAGACGGTGAATTTTCTCACCAACCAAGGAAATACTGATACCAGGTATCAGGCTCAAAATAAAGATGATACAAGGCAATACCAAATACACATTTTATCTCTGTTTGAGCGTTGGCGGCAGGATATGAAACGACTGCCGATTCTGAATTTATCTTTGGACAGTCACAATTTGACATATACTTCTAAGTATGTAGGCCCTAATATCAACAGAGTCTTTGGATTTGAAAAGTATTTGGAAACAACAAAAAATAAATCAAAACGAAGTTCAAAAAAGTGTTTTAAAACCTTCTTGAATACTTTATGCAATTATAAACAGACAGTGCTTGGAGAGCCTGTATTTGTTCAGGGCTCCCGTTCAGCTTAAAACAAGTCTTGCAATTGGAGGGTCCCATTGGGACCCCTGATTTGAGGACAAGCACAAACTCATTGTTGGATGATTTCTCAGGTCACCGTCTGGGGGTCATGACAAGCCGGACTTCACCACACAGACAATTCATGAAACATGCTCTCAGGAGGACTCATTGTTCATGTGATTCTGGAGGAGCTCGTCAGTGCTGAGGAGGTTACTGGTTGCATGCTCATGGGAATCCACATTTGGTTGGCCTTGGTCTTAATTTGCCAATCTGTTGTGATGGATTTTGCGGATAGGGTCAGTCTGAGACGTTGGTTGTGGAGTGAGTTTGGATTGGTATCCACCTGTATCCACCAAAATCAGGGCACTGTATGACTTGATACCAAGCAGCAAAATAGCCACCCAACCTTTTTATTCATTGCACAAATGAAGTATTTTTTAGAGTTCAAACCACCTCCACCACTAGAGGTGGTTTGAAAGTTTTTAGTTGGGTTTTTTTGAAGAAAAAAGAAAAAAGTAAAGAAAAAAGAAGTCTGAATACTTTTGAAAAACATTCAAAAATTTATATCAAAATATTCTTTATAATCAGGGCTGTAGAGAGTTCAACTTTTGAAAAAAAGAGCAATGAAAAGCTTACCCAGAAGGCAAACAAGCAAAGAAATAATGGGGGAGAAGGGGTGGTGACAGTTGAGTGACTGGAGACAGGAAGGAATGGCCTCCAATCTATATGGTAAAAAGGGGAGAAAAATCAATAAAGATGTAGCCACCATCAGTTGTACGGCAGGCTCCTTGCACCTCTGAAATTTACTATGTTATACTTGACAAAACCACCAAGCACCTAAAAAGCCATAATTCAATGGGGATTTGATCATCCATTCCCATGTGAATCCAATGACTTCCCTTGAACACTTGATGGAATTTTACCCAATTAGAACCTGGAGAACGTTTGAAAGACTTAAATTCAGTTGGAATTCTGCAATCAGTTGCCAGATTTGTGATTGACACCACATATACATAGCAGCTTCCTGTTAGTATTGTACAATCAGACTACTGGAATCGACAGATTCCTACATAGTCTGCCATTAAACTTACCAATCAATTTTCATCTTTTTCCTATTCTTTTGATCTGCTCGCTCATCGAAACAAACAAACATAGCAAAATTACTGACAACTGAAAGCTTGACTGAATGCATCTGAGGAGATTAACAAACACTAGGGACGAAATATGAAGACTGAAACAACCCATTGAATCCAACAAAGAAAAGAGGGCAAAAGAAAAGGGAAAAAAAATTGATGACTTGTGTTAGCAAGAAGAGGAGTGATCTCGAAGAGGTATATAAGTAAAGCAAGTGGACCCAACCACTCAAGAGCCACGGTATTGTATCCCAAGTACGCAGGAAGAAGAAGAAAAAAAGGAGGATGCAGTGGGGGAGAATTGCGAAGAAGAAAGAAGAGCGCGCGCATAGGCTCAATCGACCATGGCGAGATTTTTGCGAGCGGAGTCGATGAGCATGGCGTGATGGTCGCCGGTCATGTCCCAGAACCCGACCCCGCCGATCCCGGCGGCCAAGGCATACGAGGCCTTGATGCCGATCGAGATCGTATCGTCATAGGTGATCACAATGTTGCGAGCTTTCGAGAACGCGTATGGCTAAAAAAAACACACACACACACAAAAGAATAATAAAAAGTGAATATTTCGGATCCTCTTGATGGATGGTAAGTAAGACGGAAGAAGAAGAAAAAAAAAAAGCATCATCGATCAGGGTTTACACTTACGGTCGAGCTGCACCGGTCCCAAGCGACTTGGTATCCATTGATCCCAGTCAATCTTCCCTCGTTATCGGAAAGGTCAAGCTGGACGATGCCCCATTTGAAGAGGTCAGTGAACTGGATCTGGTTTCCAGAATGGCCGTCGAGATCGCCGGATCCGATGGCAGAAGACGCCTTACGCAGCAGGCCCGAGGTGTCGTTCTGGCCCGCGTCAAACAGCGTCGGGCCGGTCGTCGCCGTCAGATTAGGGTCGACCGTCTGGGTGAGATTGCTCACATTAGTAGGGTCGACCGTCTGGGTCAGATTGCTTACATTAGGAGGGTCGACCGTCTGGGTCAGATTGGGGCTAATTGCTGTCACCGTCTGATTTACGCTTGGTAGAGCATCCTGCACCGTGCTTGGGAGGGAAGAAGTCTGATTGAGGCTGGCTGAGGGAGTCTGAACGAGACTCTGTGGGACCAAATTCAAGGAGGGTATCTGGACGATATTTAGTGGGACTGGAGGAGCATTAAGGATAGAGCAAGTCACACCGGTCGGGTCCAAGCAGGAGTTCTGACGGTTCCGAAGCTGGCGATTATCAGCCTGGACAAGATACTGATCGATCCTGCGGGCGGGCTGCGGGATCTCAGAGCGCTTTCGATGAACCAAGGTGGTGGTGGATGCATGGTTGATGTATCCATAGGCCGCCAGACCCATCAAGATCTTCTGCCGCGGGAAGCCGGCTGAGGTCCAGGTCTTGATCGAGCTGACCATGTTGGCTCCCGGTTGACTGCTGTCTTGGCATCCGTTCGAGAAGGGGCCGTTAGGCCCGGGATTGGATGAGGCCCCCCAAACATCGTAGTTCCTGAAACAAAACAAAATCCATACCCAAGGGTTAATGCTTTTTTTTTTTCAAAGCTTCAAATAAAGACTGGTGATTGATTAGAACTCACATGATCAAAATGTAATCGAGTACCTTACCAAACTCTTCTACATTAGTCATTCTGCCGCCCTGGGCGTTAGTGAAGGTATAATCAGTGACTGCAGCCGAGATGATTTTATGGGGTCCCAGCTTGGCTCGCAGGAGTTGAAAGAATGAAAGCAAGGCAGCCGAGTCTGTACTTGATGCTATATTATCTTGTATCTGGGCTTGTCCTGGGTATTCCCAATCAATATCGATTCCTGATATGCAATTACCACACAAAAAAAAAAGAAATCAGTTGGGTAAAATTCACAAGCGATCTTGATTTGTTGTTTCAAGACGGCCAATCGAGACGTATATGCTGAGACCCACCATCCAGATCATGAGCGAGAACAAGTTGATAGAGATTATTAACGAAGGTCTGTCTAGAGCATTCACTCTTGACGGCGACGGAGAAGAACTTGGAGCCGCCCCAGCCGCCGACGGAGAGGACGACTCTGGACCCGGCCGCGTGGGCGCCGCTGACGAGTCTATCGAGCGTTTGCTTGGAATCCGGCTGGGTGAAGTCCACGCCGACGTTCTCGTTGGGAATCGCAAAGGCTGTGTGTGTGGACGGAAATGTCAGCCATCAGACCCTTATTTCATATATATATATATGGTGTGCTCTCTTTAATAACAAAAAAACCCTTCCATGGCTTGGGGTTTTTTTTTTTTTTGTTCTTATTAGATAAACTGACCGAAATAGATAATATCAAACTTCTTATATTGGACCTGTTCCGGCGCCAAGATATCGAGGCTCCAATCGGGGAAGTATGAGATAGTGATGGGGCCGGGGGGAGCAGCGGGGAGCGAGACATCGAGGAGAGGAGGGGATCCGACAGAGAGTGAAGGAGCGGGGACCAAAGCAGGCTGAGGCAGAGGGAGAGGGAGGGGGAGAGTCTGTTGTTGAGGCAACAATTGGCTCTGTCTATTTGCATTAGGACTGTTTTTCGGGCCGAGGGGGAGGAGGACATTGGGGGCCGGTTCGAGGTAAGGAGAGGGGTTGACGATCAGCTGGCCGAGCCGGGCCCGGGGCGAGACCAGATTGGAGAACGTGAACGGGTACGAAACCGCCGCCAGCTCGCGTCTCTGGTGTCCTCCTCCGCCTCCTCCCTCCGCCTTCTTCCCCTCCGTCGGCCGCATACACATCCGAAGCGGGTACTCCTGCCTCAGATCAACTCTCCGGCTCACAAAACTCTTCAGCGTATGGTGGGCGGTCGCCGGCGTCGTCCTTCGGCCCACCGTCTCCGTCGACGATGTCTCGGATGCCTGAGAACCACTCAGATAACTGCTCCCGTAGATCACATAAAGGCTCGATGAAAGTAGGCGTGGAAGGCGCATTCTGTCCAAGGGTGTTGTGATATGGATTGGAATTGAGTTTTTGTTGGAAATATGTAGAGACGGGGGGAATCCTCAGTTTTCGTTCTTTTTCGTACTTTTGAGAAGAAGAACACCAGAGAACAGGAAGACGGAGTAAGGCTTATAAGTAAATCTTGGCTTCATATAAACACAAGCACCTCAAGTCCAACCCAACAGCCCGCGCTTATATGACCGGTCCATTCAATCATCAGAAGTGGAACCGTGCCCACCCTGTTTTTTTTGTTTGTTTGTAAGAGCACAGTAGACTAGCATGATAGCACTGCTATAGCATACTGGGCATGTCGAGAGATGAATGTATTAGTACGATTGTTGGTGGAGAAGGGGGACGAGGCGGAAATGCACATGAGCTTCACAACGAAATCCGACCAGGATATACATAGCAGTACAAGATTGATGAACCCATTTCCCAAAAGCAAATCAACTCAAGTAAGTTTGAGTATTTTACATGCGCACAATCAAGTCCACCTGTCTGACAGTGCTAGCTTATTTAGATAGTCAGTCTCTCGAGCGGAGCGACTCCGAAGGGACGCTCGCGGGCGTAACGGACGAGGTAGTCGCCCGCTGCACGGACACCTGTGTTCGCCAGACACATGCCACAGGCAACGGGTCTTGCTAAAAGCTACATAGCGTACACTTACTCAGATCAAGATCTCAATCGCAAAGTGGCTGCGAACCTGGAGCCGAAGAGAGTGCAATAAGGCATTGGACCAACTTTCGAATGGAGCTGAGATGATTGACATTGACCGAATTAAAGAACCAATGGATCATAGAGATTTTAAGTGTGTAAAAGAAAATAACATTTTTGACTTGCGCTCATGAGTCATCTGTTTATATGGTGTGGTATTGAATTGAGAGTGATCGTCAGAACAGTCAATCTTTTGAGGCAAAAAAACAAACAAACCGTATCTTGATGTGCTTCATGAAAAGGAAAAAAAAAACTGAGTGAATTGAAAGAAGAAGAATGAAGTGAAAGGAAAAAAGGCAGGAGGGACCAGAGAAGAGGGAATCAGAAGGAAGAATAAAAGAGATACAAAAAGAATGAGTGACCGGATTAAGAGTCATCAAGAAGATTGCTGAATGATATATTTGGGCATGGAAATCAACGCAGCTTTTGTGTGTGTGTGTGTATCGTTTATTTTTAGAGAGCAAGGAATAGGAATAGAGGACGGGAAGGAACAGGAGGGAGGAATTATGGGAACCAGCGAAGAGAGGAGAGAGGATAGAAGAAAGAAGGGGGCCGATTATTCAAATTTTTTCTTGACGCCAGCAGATTCGACCACGCTCCCATTAACTTTAGCCCGGCCGCCCCACCCGGAGTCACCGCCACCACGACCCCTTCCACCACGATCGCCACCACGACCTCTGCCTCCACCCCGGTCACCGAATCCTCTGCCTCCACCGCGTCCACCGAACCCGCCTCGGCCCCCACGATCACCGCCGAATCCGCCTCGGCCGCCACCGAAACCTCGGCCGCCACCCCGGCCACCAAACCCTCCGCCTCCACCTCGACCACCCCCTCCGCGGTCATTGTTGGATCGCGGTTGGCTGAAGTCAAGCCGGGCTTGTCGGTTGTCGATGTAAACCCCTTCGCCGCGTCCTTTCTCAACGGCAGCCCTAGCCGACTCTAAAGTCGCAAACTCGACGTATCCGAACCCTTTGACCCGTTGAGTCTCGGGATCCGTCGGTAATCGGACCGAGTTGACATCCCCATACTCGGCAAAAATCTCCCAGACTGAATCTTGGGTGGCCGAGAAAGGTAGGTTACCAACAAAAAGAGTCGTTGACTCTGCCGATAGCTCTTCCTTTGAAAAATCTCGCTTGTTCTCTGCTGGAGCTCGTTCGGCTCTTGGGGCTGATAGGTCGACCTTCAATGTTCGTCCATCAAGCTCAGTCCCGTTCTTGGTTTCGATGGCTTTTTGAGCGCCTTCACAAGTCTCAAAATCGATATAACCAAACCTGTCCCCATCCAAAAAGCAAAGGTGGGAAGCTCTGTTTATTAGCACGGTGCGAATGTGAGAACCCAAGGTGGAAAGATTGGAGACTGACCCTTTACTCTTTTGAGTGTCTCGGTCAGTGATGACACGTGCATCGACGATTGGCCCACAAGATTCAAACTCGCTCTTGAGCCATTCACTGTCCACATTCCACGACAAGCCACCAACATAGACGTTCTTGATCCCCTCTTCGGCGGCCTTAGCTTTCTTTGGGGATGGGTTGGGCCCTTCGTTCTTACGCTTCTTGTCATTGGAAGCGGGCAGGGTCTCGGTTGTCGAGGGCGTGGGAGCCTCATCCTCATCGGATTCTGATGAGCTTGTGGATTCCTCTGTGGCCTCCGCGCTTTCTTCCTCGTCTGAAGAGTCATCAGAAGAGGCAGCTGGTGCTGCAGCTTTGCCGTTAGTCTGTGGCTTGGCCGCGGCTTTCGCCACTGGTACCTGCTTGAGAGAAACATAAAATCCGTTGTTAGCGAGCTTGGGAAAAGCAAGTTTTATTTGGTGAAACTTCAAACGAAGAGATGGGATCACAAACCTTGGCAGGTGCGGCTTTGGCAGGTGCAGCCTTGGCAGGTGCGGGCCTGACTGGCTGATCTTCATCAGAAGAGGAATCTTCCTCGGATTCCTCAGATGATGACTCAGCAGCTTTAGCCTTGGCGGGAGTGCTTACAACGGGTTTGGTGGGTGCGGCAACCTGAAAAAAAAGAGGGGAATTTGATCGAGATAGTGAGATGGTAAGCGGGTGGATTCGCATCAGAGGGAAGCGGATTAAAAGATGATGACTCACGGGCTTCTTGGCTGGCTCACTGTCGCTCTCAGAGTCACTTCCGCTCTCACTCGATGAGCTAGCAGCCTTGGCAGCAGGTTTGACGGGCTTGACGGCAGAGGCTTTGGACTCTCCTTTAGCAGGCTCCGAGTCATCCTCATCGCTTGAATCCTCGGATTCCGAGTCAGATTTTGGTTTGGGTGGCGGAGGGGCAGCCTTCTTGGACTCAGCGGGGCCATCTTTCTTGGCCGATTTGGAGGCTGGCTTCGAATCAGCCTTCTTGGGAGTGGGCTTCTTGGCAGAGCTGGTGGCGGGGGCGGCGTCGGATTTGGGTTTGTCTTCCTTGGTCGGTGTCTTGGCCTTCTTGGAGCTCTTCTCGGTTGGTTCGACTTTCTCCTTGGCGGGAGAAGGCTTGACGTCGGTTGTCTTCTTATCGGTAGACTTTTTGTCGGCAGACTTCTTCTCGGGTGTTTTCTTGTCGGCGGTTTTCTTGTCGGTTGACTTCTTGTCTGTCGACTTCTTCTCGCCCGATTTCTTGTCGATCTTCTCTTTGATGCCAGGAGGTAGTGTCTGAGGGGCAGCCGGCTTGGGGTTGGCGGCTGGTTGTGAGGATGAGGTGGGCTTCTGGCTAGCCTTCTTCTCACTCGAGCTGGATTTCTTCTTGGTGTTACTCATGGTGAAGAGGGGGTAAGGGTAAGGAAGGAAGAACTGGGTGAAGTGGGTGACAAGTGCTGAAAGAATCGTGATCGTGGAGGTCAACTGGAGATGCGGTCAGGAAGGTCTTAGGAGAGGTCGTGAGGATATGAGGGAGGTAGTGTTGATATCTTGTTGGATATCAAGTGGGACAAGTGGCGAGAGGGTGAGGAGAGATGTGTGTGGATTATATCGACCAGCCTCAAAAAATTCTTGAGCTGATTGACTGGCTGACCAAACAGTGGGTTCCGACGGAGGGGCAGACACCAAAATTCACCAAATTGCATATTCAATATCCACCGCAACCCAGACCGCAGCAGCAAGGATGACTTGCTCCACCCGGGAGGCCGGCCTGTGGTATTCTCCAATCGGGCACAGCTTCAAGTTCCATAGTCATGTATGCGGATAACACACCCTTGGAGGCATATATCTTATTGTGCTTGGTATTAATATCATTGTGTGCTACAATGAGGATGTTGGCACCCAACCTCAAAGATATCTGCTCTGTATTAATTTGTAGTGTGGTGGGGTCAATCCGGGTGATGATGTCATTTGTCTATCATAGTATCCTCCTTGTTCATGCATGGGATCTGGAAGTCTTGGGCACATTTTCTCCATCACAGATGTGGCAAGTTGAAGCCAGGGATGAATAGAAATGATAATCCTTGTGTAAGATGGGAATAGGGTAGCTTCAGGTATTTGAATATGTATCAGTATGTATGCGTGTTTTTTTGTCAAGTTAAGGCAGAGAGGTGTGTGTGCTTGTACGTGTATGCAGCCAAAAAGTTGGATATGGCCTGCAAGTTCGAGCTCATCCACATTTAATTTCCTTTGATTGGATCAAGAATTATCCAACAAATACAAAGAATTCCGAGTCCCAGCAAGTATCCCAGAGGAGACTATCCCCAGATCGCGACGCACAAACCAACCGGGGACCACTACGATCGAGACGATGGAATATTCGTTGACTCGAGATTGGACTTCGAGTTCAGAAGGTGTACGTTACAACCAAAACATCAGTCATCCGTATCCGAACCATTGAAAGCACTTTTTTACTATCATGTCCGGCTTACCATGAATCCTGCTGGGATCGACTCCACAGTTCTTCAATGACCAACTGGCGTTCACGATTTCATAATCATGGGCGATCTACAATCCTGGCCGACGGAGACCAGCGTCGGTCTTCAAACCTTTGGGGGCGCTCGCTTGAGATTCATCGCTGGAGATCCCACTCGTAGTTCTCGTCTCGAATTCGAATTTGCTCGAACTTTGCATGATGGTAAGTTCAGAAAGCGCAAAAACAGATACACACCCTTCGTAGGTACTAACCATTCTATCTCCGCCTCTCGTTCCAGTCGTTGTTCGACGGATCCTACCTCCAGTACGATTCTATGGACCACCAATCAAGCCAAATGTCGTCCAGCTGCCTCCCAAACCATATCAGTTACTACAAACTAATGTGAGCTTTCGTTTGGATTGATCTCCCGGCGGGCATGTCAGCTAATGCTGCTTGCCTTGTCTTTCTGTAGAATCGGTATCTACGGGCTCAACACCCTCAGGTTGATTTACCCAAATCACTGCTGCTGGCACACATTCTGGAAGATCAAGAGTTGCCTGAACAAACCGAACCCCTGATATCCTCCATGCTCAGCGGGCTGACGATTGACGAGCAACACGATCTGATCGTCTCCGTTGGTGGAACTCTGGGTAACGAGCTATGTAAGTACTCCGCCTTTTTTCTCGAAAAAAATAAATCACCCTGCTGATTCGGTTGCGCTCCTCTCCGCCTTAATACAATTCAACCATAGACTGCATGTTCCTCGAAAACGATCAATCTGGTCTACCAAAGCTGCACACAAATCGCAAACCGGCAGCCATCCTACGTACTCCTGTTCAGCAACTCATCAGTGGACCCTCTTTGAATAAGGATGGAAATGGTACGTCCAGTTTTCATTCCCGTTTGCTTCTCTCTTTTTTTTTCTTGACGCTTCTGTCAAGAACATTTAAGCTGATGATGATAAATTCCTCAACCCGCAGCCGTGTTTCTTGCACGCACACACGACGCAACCACTCTTTTCACATATTCCCATCATGGTACCAGAGAAGAACCCACTCAAACTCGCACAACATCTCCAGCTTTTGAATTCGATATGAGCTATCAACTCAAAACCTCCGACACTGCTCACGAAAGTCACGTCGATTCTTGTGTCGCCCATACCATCAATGATACCCTACATCAATTCGTCGTCCTCAACTCCAAGGGACAGCTATGGAAGGTCTCAGGTATTGGCGGTAACAGTTCGCTGAAGCGGATCGGTCTAATGACCTATTCGGAGCCCAAATACATCACTTGGGCTCGCTGTGGCATCTATCCTACAAACGATTGTTTGGTGGTTGGCCTTCGAGATTCTGTCGGAATGGTTGACCCCAGGGTGAGTGGCAATTTCTTACCTTGGAATTTTTTTGGTTGCGGTACATTCTAACATGATAATACGCACTTGGACCTCACCCTTGGGCCAGTTAAACGGCGAATGCAGTAATCTGTATACCGTCTCAGACGCTCAACGCATGACGGATATCCAAAGATATATTAACAACCGGACTCCGCATCTCAGGTTGATCAATACGACTTCGTCGATGATTTGGATCGATGATCGCAAACCGGGCGTTCCGATGTTGACAATCAAGCACTTTCGATCACCCGATCTGACGCTAAGCATGAGTTTTTCCGCCGAGCCAGAGTGGTCTCCCCACCCGTCATATTCTCTCTCAACCGCGGCAGAGCGTTTCGATAAAGTTCTTCTCTGGTCTCGCACCAATGACGTTGCAAGCCTACATCAATTCAAATCTCATCCAGCTATCCCCCCAGCCGTGTTGGGCTATCCAGCTGCCGTCCCGGTCACGTCAAGCCATCCCCTCGATCGGCGGACGGGCTTGGTGTTCTTCCGTCGTAAGACAGTCGATAATCACCTCGAAAAGTTTTGTCTGGTCGAAATGAAACGTGATGGATCGCTGTGGCATCAGCAACTTGGGCTCTCTAGCTCCGCAGATATCAACCCACCGTCGACCAATACTCATCTGGTGGAACGTTTTGCAAACTATCCGGCGGACGTAGGTGCAACAGGAATCTCCTTAGGGAAATCAAATTCTGAAGGAAATGATGGGTTTATCGATATTCCAAAATCTACCTTGAAGCTCGACAAGATTTGGAAAGGTCAGTCAACTTCAAACTCTGTCCATCATTCCCATGCAAACCTAACATGGCTTTACTATCTTTAGATTTCACAAAATCTTGTCTTTCGGAAGCCTCCTCGAAAGACGATCTTGTCCCCATTGCCGTACCTTGTATCGACTTCATGGATCCGCTAGGTTTCTGCATGCTCCCAAGACCTTACGAAGTTTCGATTGCGACCAACCAAGAAATCACCAATGGAATACCAGGTTCGATGGTCGATATTATGCCTGTCCTTCGAAGCTTGCTACCAGCTTCAGCCAACCTCCTCCCCGAAGCTAACACGTCGATGGACGAAGACGAACCGCGCTTACAGACTTATCTTAAGCAATGGGTCGGAGAAATATTGACGACGGCTATCAAGCTTTCCAGCAAGACTCCAGCGCCGATTGGCCAGTCCGGGGAAGAAGATGATCGAGGATCCGACTGTGGATCGATCGTCGACGAGCCTATTACCTCACTTGCGGTCGATCGGCTGATGGAAGAATGGAAGATTGGAGCCTCGACAAGTGAGTATCAATGGGTTGACATTTGTGAGCCGACGAACGAGGACTTGGCCGGGCTATCTGGGGCGGAGTCGGACCATCCATCCTGCCCTAGTCCCTCGACGAGGTCGCGCTCTCAGTCAAGGTTCAATGGGATCGAGCCCGTTCAAGAGGTCCGAAGTAGCAGAGAAGCCACGACGGATATTGTCCAGATTGTCTCGAAAGCACTTGACAAGTCTTCGACCAACACCGAGATGGAGGTCATGATCACTCCGAAGGCCCATCCGCGGAAATCCAAGCCGATCCATTATAGTCATGCCACCCCGGGCTTCCCTCACCCCTCATCTAGTCTGCCCAACCCTCATCCGTCTAATTTCCTCCTCAGCTCAAGCAGTCAGCCCGATCCTTTCGGCCCCAACTCTCTCTCCCCTCCGCCCTCCACCCCTAGACTCACTCAGGCTTATTCCCAACTCGTCCCCGGCCCTCATGCCGCTCGCTCGACTTCAACCGCAAACCATTCGAGGAAAAAGAAACGCGTCGGTGGGTTTTAGGCCTTTCCTCTCCGCAGGTCCTTCCCCGTTATTCTTCCTGTTGGCTCCTTTCGACGGGCTGCCCGCCTTTCTTCTTCTGCAAATCAATCAATCACTCCTTGAACCACATTTTTACACCTCAAGGACCGTTCAATCTTTTCTTTCTTTCTTTCTTTCTCTCTCTCTCTCTTCAACGCAATTTTCTGCTTTCCAGACCGTAATTTTTTCCTGGCAATTTTTGGCGTCCATTTGGGCTTGGTATACTTATAGCACATATATCTATACATTCATGTTTGTTTGATTTCAGCCTTATAATTTGGTAGTTCTTTCTTTCTGATTCGGAGATTGTTCGGCGATTCTACAATTAATAATATTAAAGCTTGGTTGCATAGGTCCGCAGAGGAGGGAGATCGATCAATGTGGATTTTAGAGAGATTGGAGTTGGTTGGTCTGATACAGATGTCAGTTGGAATGATGTGCACTTGAGAAACGGTTTGGTTGTCGGCACTCTTGTCTTTGATCGTAGGAATCAGCATACGCTCAAGGATAGGTTTCCGAATGGCCCTCGCAGCTTGGTCCTAATTGGAGACGCCAAGTTGAACTGAAGGAGTCGCGATGCCCAATCATCATCTCGGACGGGACAGCCATGGCTGAGTGAGTTCAAATTGAAGTGTGCTCGTTATACATACAGATTTGGCAAGCCAGCTGATGATGATGTGATCTTTCAGCCGGCCCATCAAAGCTCACGGGTGGTCAACGCGACTTGTGCTGACTCAAGCGTCGAAACGAAGCCGTCCTGATGAGTCTGACTACTTAGTAAATAACAATCATGTAGGATACAAACCATTCAAGATTATAAACTGCAGCAGACATACATCACTCCCTCGCCGTGGTCAGGTCTTGTGTTAGTGTACCAGAGTTTCTCCATCACTGATCGTCAATCGGAACCGATCCCTCCCCAGTTTGATCTTGCTGACTTCTGACATCCACCTCACTCGCTCTATCAATCACTTTAGCAAACATTACCCCCAGCCGTCTCAACCTGACATTCTCTCTCTCTCTCTCCAGCGCCTAAGTGTTTTGTCAGTCACCCTTTCAGTTGAGTAACGGGAAATTCAAAAACCCTCGGAAATTCGTGCGCAATTACATAGGAAGCGTGATCAATTTTTCTCAATTTTTGTTTTTGTTTTCTTCATTTTTTAAAGTCAAGGAATGGGAAGAATTTTCACATGGGTTTCGGGGGGCGGTTGACACCAGTGGATTGAGAGGAGGTAATTAAGGAATTTTATTGACGACTCGTTCGAGACTCCCTGCGCCCGTACTCCGGATACACCGATACCTCGTCCACTAGGAATGTTCGTGTTCGGAATCCTGAGCCGATCATCGACTTGGCCAGACGAGTTCGTTCGAAATCCTTCGCGTAACGTTAACGTCCTACAGTACGACGAAAGAACTTGCCTTCCCTCCCGCCGATGATGAGCAGTGACTTGTGTCAGTTGAGAAGCAGAAGACTGTCGTCGAGGAATCATGCATCGTTCTTCTTGTTAGGTGTTGTTCGATTTACTAAGCATCCTCAGAGTTTAGAGAAAGATGAACTTGCCTTGTAAGATAGAGATTGCATATCAACTTATCACTTTGGTTATAATTAAACAAGATCAGAAAAAAAAAAAGAGAATTTGGGTTCGATTTGCGAGACAATTCGTGGGAGCGATTCTATGACCCCTGGTTGGTTTTACGGATGAACACATTTGCATCCCTGCGCGACCGGGCAGTATACCGGGCGATACGGTGCTTTGTAAGGGGATGTGCCGTTGCAATAGCACTTGTCCGATCGGCAAACTGGGTCACCACTGCGAGCATGAACACCATACACGAGAGATAGGGAGAGTGTTATGAGGAGAGCTAAGGCTGAGCGCATGATCGTTGGGGGTTTTCAGAGATCTATCTGTCTATCTGGTGTGCTTTAATTTGGGGTCGAGGATAACTTTCGGCTGATTGATTGTAATTGGGCGGACAGGATTAGACTGTAGGCTCAGTCGCAAAGGTCCCCCCCAAGGTCACGAACTAGAGGGTCCCTGCGGGACAGCGTCCCCCCTCCGAATACAGAGGGACTTGATTGAGTTGGGGTCACGAAGGAGGCTACAAATATAGATTAATACACCTCCAGGCTGTGCTATGACATACAACGTCGGGTGAGCCTTGGGTAGTAGCTTGATGCGGGAAAAGTTGAAGCCGTGTACATAACTCTTTTTTTCTTTATTGGTTTTATTAAAATCCATTTGTAGGGTTTTTGAGTGAAAAGGGCCTTGGCATGTTGATCCATGGTGCTGAATTGAAGTTGGATTTGAATGGCCCCTCTAAGCTCATTGACAAACTTGACAAACTGGGCTGTGTCGCATGACTTAATCTTGTTAAGGCCTCGTTTGGCCGTCCACGATCGTAATAGGCCGTCGTCTCCAATCGTTAAATCAAAATCTAGGTTTGATGATTCCAGGCTGTGCAAATGACGCAGCCTGAAAATCCTCATCAACCTCGCTGTGAGGACTTATGACGCAAAATTTTGGGGGGACCCAAAATGTTGGAATTGGCAGGGAATATATTTCGCTGACCACTTCCGTAATAAGAAAAGTGGATATGACGTGGCCTCCCAAACACCATCGTGAGGCCCCGTCTTCAGCTGTGCACCCCCGATATATGCGCCATGATCGTTTATGACGATCATGGACGGCCAAACGAGGCCTAAGATTGTTAAGAAACACTCTTTGCATGGGGAGTTTTGCCAGCAACCTTGCTTTTGAGCAAGTCCCCGACTAATCCCTTTCCTGTCTTGTCACTTTTGATGACATGTGATAGGTACCCAAGTACCTCTTTGCTGAGATAGCAAACAGGTTATTTTAGGTATTACATTTAAATATTGCTGATATTAAAACAATTAATAATGCTATATGCCGGAGTAGGTTGTTTGGTTGGATGCATAGGTCCAGAGAGGAGGGAAATCGATCAATGTGGATTTTAGAGAGATTGGAGTTGGTTGGTCTGATATGTCAGTTGGAATGATGTGCACTTGAGAAACGGTTTCATTGTCGGCACTCTTGTTTTCATCATAGGAATCAGAGCATACGCTCAAGCTTAGGTTCCAAATTGCCCTCGCAGCTTGGTCCTTGGAGGTGCGAAGTTGAACTAAAGGACTCGCAATGCCCAAGTAGGTGGTCAATGGAGTCGAATGTCCACAGTCCACGGTGCAGGGCGTATCACACTCCTTCTTGACATGTATCCAGCCCGCTCGTCTGTTCCCATCAGATATAGGCAGCGCCAGTATGGATGGACACCGGTACATCTGCCAACAAGCTAGTCTCCAATTAGAAGGGAATAGACGCGCCTTGCGGGCCGAAGAATCCAAGGAGGAACGGGGTGAGCGAGAAGCTCGCTGAAAGGCTCTGAAAAAAAGTAAAAGTGCACTGTCCCAGACTTGGACGTCTATTTGGGTGTTTGCCGGGTCGCCGAAAACGGGCATTGTCTGATCAAGTAGCATCTCGGCCTACGGAGAGGGAACCTTATCTAGTCGACCCACGGATGTTGATGGCATGCCGTTATGCCTGTCAAGTCAGCTTCAAGGGATAACAAAAGGGGTTGGGACGGGTGGCACAACCCAACGCCAATGGAGCCTGCAGCAACAAGTGGAGCAATCATTAACAAATATTCAGAGAGCATGCCGGCGTCAGCAGTTGAGAACTTCTAATAAGGAATGCCAAAAACTGACTTGACTGGCAATATTAAAGTGCTCTGATGGATGAAAGGGTTAAGATGATGTGGATAAGCAAGAAGAGAAAATTGTATCTGAAGAAATTCATGGTGCAACGGCTGAATAGACTTGTAAAAGGAGGGTATTCTTTAACGCCCACAACTGACTGTCACGGGACTCATTATGTCGGACCTGGTAAAAGAAGGGTCACGAGCAGTCCCTGCTGCAGGCGGCATGGGCTTGTTCTAGCGCTATTAAAGCTGCTTCTAACCATTCTGTCAAGGTCTCATGTACCACTGGGTAGTCCTCGATATCACCGGCCCGCATTGGCCGTCTTCTCCCGTAAATCGGGCTGGGTTGATTGGGTAAGATTTCTTTCTACAGGTGGAGGGGTCACCTTGCTCAGATAGCGTCTCTAGCTGATTTCCACGATCCGGGAAACCACGTCACAAGCCACCAATTGTCACGCATGGTGTCCACAAACGATAGCGGGATCCGATGACAACTGATAGCTTGTGAAGTAGGATCCCGGAGCGGAGAAAACAGCAAGAAATATTATCTGAGCAAGACGCTCCTCGACCTGCAGGAAGAAAACTCACCTGGCCCACCCGGCCACAACACACGCGAGCGACGGCCAATGTGGATCGGTGAGATCAAGGAAAACCCAGAGGCATATGAGACCCTAGCAGAAAGTTAGAAGCAGTTCTAATAGAACTAGAGCAATTCGACGCCACCTGCAGCCGGCAGGGGGCGTTGCACTTCAGCGACCTGCTCCGACGCGAAGAGTTCCGCTAAAATGATGATCAACTGGGGATGTTGAAACACACCCTTCTCTTGCAAACCTTTTCAGCCGGTGAATGATTGAATGAATTATCTGAGAGACAGCGTTGCTAGTTTCAACAGTTCAAGAAAACCTTACCCCAGGGTTCGAGGGAGAGTTTAATTAATTTCGGCTACTTGAAGAGTGCTAAGCACGAGTCGGTCACTATAAATTTCTGTTGGTTAAAGGGAATGTTGGAGTTGCGTTAGAGTGATTCTGGGGACCGAGTAGAGAGAAGCATGGGTGAACGGTAAGTACCGTGCTATGATGAACCGCAGTGGTGGCAGAGGCAGTGGGCCGGAAGGGGGGTGGAGAGGAGTGTTGGGGAATGAGGGAATGATGAAAGGGGATCGGAATGGACGGGATGGGAGGGTCTTTTATATTCACGAAGCAGCACAAGGCTCAGCATTCTGCAACACCGCAATCTCCAGTGGGTGCAGCAGCTGAGCCGATGGTATGTCCCCGGATTGGGCTCAGTATTCCAGCCGGCATCGCAGCACAGAGGCTACCCATCCCGGCTGGTTGGGCTCATCATCAGCATCCCCGGCAACTGCGTCGTCGGCAGACTCCGCAAAAGCAGATTCAGAGCCTGCAGCATCTATACGATGTTTAGCAGGCTTTTGTTTCATTCTTCAGAGGCAAACATTCATGGATTGCTAGATCCGTCATATTGCCTGCCGGTCCGGACTTGGCCACACTCAATCCGTCTCTAGCACGATTGAAGAAGCAAATTTTAGCACCGCCATTTGCACAATCATCTTTGTTTCTCGACTTGAGTGCACATCTCTGTTGACACTCAGTTCTACTGACGGCAGCCTTGTGAGCTGATTTTTAAAGCCCAATTCGTTCTTATAGCGGAGACGGCCATCGGCCAAGCAGGATGTCATTTCAACACACATTCACTTCGAATCTGGACCCTGTCAGTCCAATCCAACGCTTTTTGTCAGTGATGTCCAGAATGAAACCGACAACATTCGCCTTGTTCCTCTAAATGGCTAGAGACGCAATTAATCTTTGGTCTGCGACGATCATCGGACAAGTCTGCCTGAGCTTGAGGGGTTTCCGAACCGACTTCTCGGAGCTTCTCGGCCAGTTCATGCCGGCGGGCGCAACCGCTTTGGCCACCAGTCTAGTTCCTGCACCTCATTACTCTATGTATCAACCACATTTGCATCATCTCAAGAGCTAGCCGAAACCTGCTGCCCGTGCAGGGACAGCCATAACTGAACCTGTCGTGCATACGTCGGCCGCAGGTTTTTTTAGCGTTTTCAGAAGCACTCATCTGATTTCAATAAACGAAGACAAGCCCATCACCAGATCTGCAACGAGTCGCACCACGAGTGGTATTTATATATGATTGAAGAAGGCAAACGGTCAAACTTGGTAAGGCCCCGCCCCCAGTTTCCGTCGGCTCCGAGATATTGGAACGGTATAAATCTTATTCTTAAGAGCTAAGGCAATATCCGCAAGTTATAAATGTGCAGGCATAGATGGAATCATCAGCACAGTTTTCCCCAGAACCTCGGTACACCAAAACAGCGTATCAATCTTCTTTATTGACACCCATTTAATACTTCAAAATAACTTAAGCGACAGATTTTCCTTACTTACTTGGTCAGTCACTAAGCCTAAGGTTAGCATATTGATCTCTATTTTAGCCTCCATTGATTGCTATTTTCCAGTGTTGATCTGGTATCCTATGTTGTAGAAAACAAAGATAGTCGTCTGACCTTAGCAGATTTTCGCCATGAAAAATACTTTTCATTCTGGCTTTTACATCTTTATCATCGCCTTATTGGTACCTTCAATCATGGGCGTTAATCTAATGTGGGCTGCGGGTAAAGCTGTTTCCCGCGTCTATGTAAGTTTTGATCCGATGTTTGAGCTATTGGCGATACTGATGCTAAATTGTGGTTGTTGAATCAAAAAATTCAGTTGCCACAGGAATTTCTGGTCAAACGGCTAGCTGAAAGCGAGACCCCGATGACGAATCTAAAAATGTGGGGTGCCACATTGCTCAGAGTCCACCCTTCGGGCATGAATTGGTTGGTTGAAAACACGATTCGAGTGCCAGTCACCTTTGAAGTGAAAAGATCAGAGGAACAAAACTTTTCGTTTAGCGCAACAATCCTACCCGGGGATGTCTGGGATTTACCAGCAGACAAATTCACTGTAGCAGATCAATTGACCATAAGAATTGTAGCCTTGGAGCCTGGGGAAGCAAGCAAAATTTTCCCCCATTGAGGCATTGGGATTTGTTTGGTTGAATAATTCAACCAAACAAATCCCAATGATGAAGAAATTCAACTTGAATTTCTTCATCACTTTTGGAATCCTTATCCATTATTTTTATCATCATAGTCATAATCTTATCTGTCAATTCCTATTCAACAAAAACTATAACATCTGGATTAATTCAGACATTACAAGGAGTGGAAGTATGGTGTGTGTTAGAGATGGCACCAAGTACTTGTTTGCAAGTACTTGCTACTTGTTGGCAAGTACTTGTTGCCTTCCAAAAAGTACTTGCCTACAGGTGTGGGTGCAAGTGCAGGTGTCTGAGATCTGAGAATTTTCATGCAAGTACTTGTACGTGTTGCAAGTGTGCACCTGCGCACCTTTACTTCAGATGGCACTTGATGTGCTTAGTTGTCCAGGTGTGTTTTTTATCTAAATTATTAATATTATTTTGGTTGATTTTTTACCAACTTTCCTGCACATTCTGAAGCAACCACTGTTGATGTGGAGCAATCCTTTCAATTTGGTAGGGAATATGCTTCTCTCAGGAGGCACAAGCTCAGTGCACAGTCTGTCACTAGGGGGATGAGTGTGGCATTTTACTCAAAAAACGGTAAGATCAAGAGGGGGCTTTTGAGAAAATGGAAGGCAAATAAGAAGAATGAGAAGAAAGCAGCAAGGGAGAAATCTGGAAGAAAATGAAGGGCTATTATTACTATTTACAATCACTTAGTTCACTTAGTTTACAAATACAAATCTCTGAAATGAAAACACAAGAAATTTATCACCTTTATCTCTCAAACACACTTGCATACTTGCAAGTACTTGCTTTGTCCTTCCCCCGCAAGTACAAGTTCAAGTATGGGTGTCTGAGATCTGAGATTTTTCATGCAAGTACTTGTACTTGTTGCAAGTACACAAGTATGAGGGGCCATCTCTAGTGTGTGTGTCGTTTGACCTTTTGTGGCCAAATGTTTTCTCCCAATACATTTACTACAATTGAAAGTTACTTGAAAACTGTTGTGATTCTGAACCTGCGATGTACAAGTTAGGTAGTTTTGATGAAGATTTTGTTCTGGGTGGACAAAGGTACAATAATGGGGTTCACAATTGAACTTTAAGGCCATTTTGAAGACGTTTCTGATCATAAATTTATAATTTTTTTGTGATGTACAGAAAGTTCAGAAACCAATAAATTGGAAAAACTCAAAAGAATTATAAAATGTTGCTCATAAACACCTTAAAAACCACTCTAAAGTTCAATCGTGAACCTCCCCAATGATGGAATTGACTCCAAAGAAAAAAGATTTGGAGCTCTGATGGGACAACAGGAGAAATGATTCCAAAAAAGGTTAAGTTGAGGAAGCACAATTCTGAAGTCTGAACCAAATACAGAGCTGAGGTGATTAGAGAATTGAATTCTTCAATTGAAACAGAAACTAATACAGATCAAGTAGATCAAAGAAAAGACCACACAAGTACAGGTGTAATGAGACATAAACAGAAGTCAGATGGAGAATTTGATAGGTAGAATAAGCTTCCTTACAATAATGACCAAACCAGATGGAATTTCCCTTTTTTCATTTCTTCATTTTCATCTCTGAGGCCTGAGCTATCACCCACAATGCTGCAATCTTCTGTTTTGAAAATGCATATTCCAAAGGAAGATACTACTCTACTCTATGCAGCCTTCACATATATATAACAACTGTATGGATTAAAACAAGAGCAAAAATGGCTTGCATTGGGCAATCTTTTCAAAAGGTAGTAGGTGTTGCCCTTTCCAGTTATAAGAACCACTTGGAAATCAAATTTTATTCACCCTTCAATAGATATCACAGCATCACTCAGATGGAAAATCTCTGTGTTCACCCAAGTATATCTGGAGACCATGAGATGCACTTTAAAATTTCCTTGAGCAGTATATAATACTTGAAAAACATTTTTGCATTGGGAAATACAGTCAAGGGAGAGTAAGCAGGATGACTAGACATTTTTCACTCTCACCTTCTTTCAATCTCAAAACTTCTTTTTCAAATGGCACCTCAATATTCAAATTATTCAAAGATACAATATCCATGCAGGATTCATCCTATAATGATCAAAACACAAATCCATCCATTTTCAAGTGATCCCCTCATAACTTATTTCTGAGATAATCACAGTGCGAGATGAGATATGACAGCATGAATTTTATCACCAACAAGAGATACCTCAAGGAGAAGTATGATGTGATGTGTTCCCTTCCTAATTCCTGCATATCACACATGTTGATCATTCAAGAGACTTGATTTCGTGGAGAAAGCAACAAGAATGAAGATTACATTATCTGAAGTCCAGCATCTGTTACGAATCATCCTCTGCAAGTTCAGCCCTCAAGGCCTAGAAAAGTACATATTGGTCTCTGGGAAAAGAAAAATAAATAAGCTCAGCATTTTTGTCAAGTCTGCAATTCTGTCAGCCTAGGTCACACTTATAAAGGTAGATAGACAACTGCAGATTGAAGCTCAAATTGTGTGCATGTATGGTGTTCTGTGCATTTCGAATCACACTCAATGTGGCTGGGCGTTTTTCCTCAAAACAAAAATGCTCAAACTATATTATATCTATATGATTAACTCAGAATTGTTGAGTTCTCGCAAGTTTTTCATCTTCAAGGAAATAAGATGCATAATTGCCAAAACATGGGTATTTGTTTTATTTTTGAAAAAAAAAAAAAAACAATAATAACAAAAGAGGAAGGAAAAAGATGTTCTTTTTTTGATCAGATAGACAATATGAAACATTTTATGAAGAAGGAGAGATAGGTATACGGTTCTGGTGGTTCATATGACACGTTGTCTTCATTAAATCGTCTTTTTCAATCTTGCTTGTCGTCTTCTTTTTCTTTTCAGTCAGTGTTGCACCAACGACGATCCGCTGGTCGAGTTAAAGTGGAGATCGCTTAACGATAATCGTCGTAATCGGCAGATTCCCGCCCATTCAAATTATGATGTTTGAATTTCTTGCGAGATTCGAAGTTATCGACGATCCAGGTGGACAGTTCAGTGACGTCGTCTTGAAGATCACGACAGTCTTTGAATTCTCCATGTTCCATGCCCTCCTCACAATAGTCGTCGATGAGCCAAAGTGCGTAATGCAAGCGGTCGTCCACAAAGAGTGCCGGAGGATCGTCCTCGGGGGAGCAGTCAAGCTGTTTGTAGATGTTCTTGAATACTCCCATCATCGAGCCGCTGGTTGATGAGTAGAAGCCAGCTACATCACGTTCCCCACCACCCCATTGTCGGAAGGACTTCAACAAGGTCTCAGTCAATGAGGGGTCTGATAGGATTAGCTTGCAGACCTCCGGGGATGAATCAGTAAGGCTATACAGTGTGTTAGCAGCAGCGGAATGAACATCGCCGTCTTCCTCCTCGATCAAAGTGATCAAATTTTCAAGCCTTGTCTTGTAAGCAGTGTCTGTCTGAGTCGAGTCTTCTGTCGTCGCCGGAGCGAATCTCTTGCGATACGCGGGATTGCAGAGGAGGGAATCCATGAAGTCGATTGCTTGTTTAGAAGGCTCAGATTCGACGAGTTCATCCAATCGATCAAGTATTTGAGAGCATTTGATGATTTCGGCCGTTCCGTCCGCAGAGCCGCCAATGTAGGACAGGGCTTTTAGAGCAAGGAAGTCCTGAAGCTCGGTCGCCGATGCATGCAGAAAGGGAACGGCGAGTGGCTTGATCATTGATCGAGCGAGATCCTTGCCTGGGCTTGACCGGTAGGTAATCCCGTTGTCGATCAACTTTGCCAATACTTCGATCGCCTCAAGCTCGTGTGGATGAAGCTCGAGATCGCTGAGAAGCGGCTCATTTGATGGGCTGTCAGCTTGCTTGGCCTGTTCATGAGAGAGATGCTTGGAAAATTCAAGAGAATTGATGATATCCATCACCATCTCACAACCCCCAGATTTGAAGACAAGTTGTGCGCAGTTGTCATATTCAACCAGGTTCAATAAAATTTGGGTTGCAATTTTTTTAAGTTGCAGCGAATTTCCGCCATCAGTCTTCGAAACCCAGGCCACGGTTTGGATCAAGTCTGAGTTACGCTTGAGTGTAGGCTTGAGCCAATCCAACAGCTCTCTATCGGCGCGTTCATTCTTTATACCATCCCCGGACAAGTGCCAAGGAGTATAATAAGTGGAGGCTTGCATACGTTTTTTTCTGCTTTCGTCAATCGGTAATTCATCTGGAATCACCTTGAAAGCTACAAGATTGAGGATGATGGTCGCGAGTCCAGAGGCTATAGCTTGAGCGGACGTGAGATTTTCTTGAACCCAATTGCTTTGTGAGAGGGATCGGGTGGTTTGGAAGAACTCTTCAGATCGCTTTCTCAATATTTCTCGAGCGGATTCTTCCTCGCTGAGAAGCGCCAGACCTTCGATGACCGGGGTGGGAGGATTCTTGTTTTCCAAGAAGGCCGTCATCATGATGTCGACGAGCTGCTCCGACGAAGGTGACCCAGAGGATGGTTGGTCGGTTGATTTCCCGAACTTGACCAGCGCCAAACTTGCTCCACAACGCGCAGGAATCGAGGCCGAGGTGGGACTGGTGGCCAGAGAGATCCCGGTTAACCAATCCAGACATTCCGGCCACTCCGATCGAATCCTCTCGCCGAGCGGTTTGTGGTCCAGATAGAGCGCAAGAAACTCTGAGAAAACTTTATTCAGGTCGGCTTCTTCTGGTGGGCTCTGATCAAGCGCGGCAAGCTCAACGACTGATTTGGCAAGTCAGAAAAAAAGCCTTTGGGGTGAACGAGTTGGAGTGCCTGGTCTTGAGAAATCGCGTAGATCGCGGAAAGAACGGCAAGGCCGTTGCAAACCTCGAGAGCTTGGGTGGAATGCAACCGCGATTCTAGCGCATTTCTAATCCAAGTCGGTCCGCGGCCTCCCTCGTCTTGTGAGGCTAAAGCTTCCAATGCCTTCAAAGCCTGGGCACGTTTCGATGCGTCCGAGGAAGGGATACTACCGAAGAGCGCTTTGATGGCTTCCTCTGACGGCTCGATGGACGGCCCCTTGATGATTGATTCAATCAGATCCAAGTTCGACATTGTGTCGCTCAGTTTGGTCTTCAGAGAGGCTGCTGAACTAAGAACACATGATGGTTAGACTGGAGGAAAAGTTCCTGATCGAAGTGGATGATTGATGTGCTTACTTGGTTGGAAATACTCGGCTGGTATGTAGCTAAGTCTCCTGACTGATCAGGATTGTCGTAAGGAAGCGAAGGACTGGGAAGGATGATGGCCTGAATTGGCGAAAGGCCAACGAGAGCGCGTCTGGATTAAGGAATGGGCCTGCCTGTGGGCGCATTGGTTGCTCAATCCAAATCTGGTGCTGTTTAGGGCTGTTTCAAATTCAGGCTGTTACGCCCGGCTGGCGCTTCGGCGTTCAAGGTATTGCTTCGATTCGGCGGCCGGCCCGCTGTACGCAAAAGACTGTGGTTGCACGGAAAGCCCGGCCCCGGAAGACGTGAGTCCGGCAGCTATCCCAGCAAAATCAACTCCTCTCAGACCATCGGAAACGTTGAAGACATGTGTGTCTGATAGAGACCTTAAGGTTCTAAGCCGGCGTGCCGACGGATAAGAATCCTTCCTTGGGTTGGAGTTTTCCATCCACTCCGGCTGACTCCCCTCCCCAATCCCGAACACTTGATCGGGTCGATTTTGAGCTTTCATGTACCCAACATGCTAGCGCTTCTTCTCCAATCATCGGTCTGCAATACCTGCTGGCCGATGTGTTTCAACTCTCTGAGCTTTCTATGATCAATATTTTTGTTGATCCGATTCAACCTTTTTTTCACCGGGGCTACATTTTGCCGACTGGCCAAGTTGTTCGGAGCTGCCTTGGTGAATCGTGGATCCAAGATTCCAAGCAATATCAAAGACCACAGCCAAGGATAATTATTTATTTTCCAGGTCGACCATCACATTGAATTATTTTTTGGATCGTCGTTTGCATCATCAGCTATCATCATCTTGCCTGTCTGTCTTTGATTGATTGGGAAGTATTACGCTGGCCGTAACAAGTGGGAGCTTGTGGATAGGCATCATGAATTTAAAATGACACACCGCTCTAGTGTAGATCAGCAGACTGGCAAAAGAACCATCGGGGTCCGTGCTGTTTCTCTACCTCCCATGAATCATATTCAGGGATGGAGATGAAAAGGATTTTGCGCGGCAAATTATTATACGCAGATAATTCTTGATCACAATCTTCTAATAGGGAATTCTTTTTCCCCATCAAGATTGTTTGTCATAATTCATGGGCAGTGAGACGATTTGAGCGGCCATGACGTTGATGACTTTTTGCATCAACCACATGTCATCATTGCAGGAATATCCCTGCTCTCTTCATATTTAAGTGCCTTCACTTCCATCGAAGTTCCCAGCTGTTTAACCGCCGAAAACCCAGACACCCTTCCATCATCATGTATCCTAGCACAACTTGGCTCAGCTTTGCCATCTTTATCTTGATCAGTCAAGTCATTTCACCTGCATATAAGCCTCTGAAATGTAACTCTTACACGGGTGCTAATACTCAAGCCGCTAGTGAGTCAAATTTTACTTATAAAAGGCAACATAACGATGAGATGTGGCAGTAATTGATGTTGTACTTTGCCTGTCTGAATTCTAGCTTGTAACGGGCTTCCAGACATCATATGCACCAAAGGATGTCACGGTAGTTTTGTCAGTGAGTCGTCAACACACTCAGATCAGCAAACTCTTGTTTCGTTAAATCTGATGCTCCTCTGTTGCATTGTAATGCACAGCTGCTGAAGGATGCAAACCACAAGATGGTTTGAATGGTTTGGATCCACTCACGACTCAAACTTGTACGGTTGGCTTTGACCGTGACACGATTGCTGATAAGGGTAAGTACTGTCGGGAGAAGACTCTGAGAAAATAAAGGTGTAGAGAATTATTGTTCTGACTTGAGATTCAAATATTGGTTATCAAACAAACTGGAATGACAAAAAAATTATAAATACCTTAATATTGACCAAAGTATGTAGCACGAGGACTCAGACTTTTTCTTGTGGGGGGAAAACATCCGGTTATGCAAGTGAGCATATTTTTGTTTTTGTTGGTTAAATAAATCAGAGAGAGAGAGTCGATGGCCTATTTGAAGCAGAGCTGATGAATATTTGATTGCAAATATTAAAGCTTGCTATGGGTGTGTCAAAAGGCATCTTAAATCCCCTTCAAAAGATTATCCACCTGAATGGGTCAACCAGACTCACCCATTCCCAAATCCACCTCCTTTGCAATGGTGATTTGTTTTGTTCAATTATTATGCTAAACAAAGTGCACATTTTATTATCTCAAAGTTGATTTGTTGTTGGCTTTTGGTCTGGTCTAGATAGATTTGGCAATCATGCTAACCTCAAGTCTACACCATCATTTACCTGACCTTGTGTCAGCAATCATTTCGACAATTATTCATGGTAAAATTTAGGGCCTGTTCTGCAAAATTTCCATATCATCAAAATCCAATGTTTCCAAAAGCAAGTTTTTAGCCTCAAAGTGAAGAAGTTCAAAAAATAATTTCCTCATTTATTTGCAACTTTAATGGTGTAGAAGGCAGAAAAAATGGCCATTTTTTGAAAACTTGTATCCCACAGTACAGGCCCTTGGTTGTCTTCTTAACTTATGACTCCCCACAAAATTTTTATATTACACAAGAAAACACATGAGAATATCAAAAACATGCAATAGTTTCATGATACATAGCATTCAAAAAAAAGAATCATCTGTGAATGGATAATCTTAAGGAATGTATTTCTTAAATAAGTATCATGATCTTATAGCGGAAATACATGAGAGAAAAGAAAGCAAAATGATGCCTAACCTTAAGGCAAACAACAGTGAAGCGATGAAGAAGCAACAACAAGAAAAGACAACAAATGGAAAGATCTTTTATAGATGAAGAATGAAATGAGAAACTGGTTAATTGTCTTGATTCACTTAACACAAAGAAGAGAGAAAGCAAACGAGCGCAATAACCTACGAGGATGAGATTTGACCAGACGAGTGAATAAGATCGGTGAGTTTGTCGAGATAGAAGGGAAGCACAGGTCAAGTCGGCAAAGTGTCGATATGGAAGTGGATGTGCTGAGGAGAGATCAAGATGATCTTGGACTTTATGAAGAAGATAGGAAACGACGGCAAGTTACGTCAGACGGAGGAACTGGATAGGATTATTGTTATTGATAAGATGAGGTTGTAAGTAACAACCAAGAAAGTTCCACAACCGGAAAGAGAGGGGAAGAAGGAAGTCAGGTGTTTATAAGCTTGAGGATCCGAGTGAAACGAAGAAGATTGCACAAGTGTTTTGACAGGGCTCGAGCCAGATGACATCATATGATGATGTCATGTGGTTGAGCGTGTTGTCAGAGGGTTTTGAGGTTAGAGGGATTGTGCGGAAAGAGCGCGATAGCGTTCAGACTTCAACATCATCTCTGATCACCCTTGTTCTGAATCTTGCTATTATTTCTAACTGTTCCAGAATCTAATCAAGAATCTAGTTACTGCTAGCTATCAACTTCACATCTTGTCAACTCCCAAACATCAAAATCCTTTTGAAGAAATATTGAATAAATATTTGGTGTGGCTAAATTCAGGCTCCAATTGAACTGAATGTGTGGACATCTGTACATCCACCCTCAGGACTTGATACATGGAGGCTGACCGGTTGGGTATGCTCATCATTGTACACCCAGTCCCACATGCCCCATAGTTACAATGGAGTCTATCAGTTTGGCTTGCACAACTCTTTTTTTCTATGAAAACTTGAGCTTACAAATGATGTATGTTGCTTAAACATCTGAAACTCAATCAGTGTGACTTCATCTTGTCAGCTGCCTATCACAAATATGTTTTATAGGTGAGGCTACTCTAAATCTTGGAAGGATTTAGAGGTGTCAATTGGATGATTTGGACCACTCTTTAAACCCCTCATTTCTACCAAAAAGCATGTTCCACATGAGGCTTATCATGTGATTAACAATAGATCCATGTAGTACAGTGATTCCAAGATCTCAGCTGTCAGCCACAGAGTACATTTCACAGTACATTACATGTACCAAGTAACTGAAATTCAACTTACAACACACTTACAATGAATACTGGAAGATGTTGTGAATGGTCAAACTAAAGGGATGTATTTCTTATAAGTAATAGATACGGTAAAGAAGAAATACATGATACAAAAAGAAAGAAGAAAAGAATTCTGACCTAAAGGCAAACTGGACAATAAGAAAGAAGAACACAGGAATAGATAACTCTAGTAGCAACGAGGATGATAAGACTACAACAATATGAAGTCAATGACTGATCTCTTCCGATGCGCAATGAGAATCGAGGTGAACCTACCAACCAGTCGAGAACCGAGAGAGTTGAAAAGAGAGGAAGCACAAGATATCTGCGGTCTAGTCGAGAGGAAGGGAAGTGCAGGAAGTGTTAGACAGGAATAGGAAAGTCTTGACCGTAAGCCAGGTCAGGCGGAGGAACCAGTAAGATCGATGATGAATGTGAGAGTATTAATGAGTCGATCAGAAGTAATAGGGTTGTAGATGTTCAACCAGAGTTCTACGAGGGAAGGAGAGAGGGATGAGAGACAGTGTCAAGTTTATGTATTCGAGGAGCGAGTGAGTTTGGACCGATGACATCATCGGTTCTGGTCAGAGAAAGTTCTTTGGTCATGTTGTGAGATTGACCGGAAATATTAAGTTGTTGGAGCACGAGGGCTTGAGCATAGAGGTAGGTGAGTCACACATTAACAGATGTCATATAAACAATTGTTGTTAATACCAACATTAAGGGGTATCAAATATAACAAAATCCACCACTTTTTAATATTGACTGGTTTTGAGGAATCCACAGTTACAAAATCCACCTTTTCAGTGACCAAATAGCCTACTTCTTTTGTCAGGGGAAGATCAGTAGAATTCTTCAAGTTTTGAGTTGTGATCTGAATCCAAATCATCCATCATGGCCATTGCAGTTTCTTTGAGAGACTTTTGAGGACTTGAGTGGAGCCAATCTTGGTGTTGATGATGAACAGTTTGGTGCTGATCTGACGGGTTTTCAAAGGTGGATTTGCTATATTTGATACCCCCTATTATCAGAAGTGGCTGGGAAGCCAGTTCTATTAGAGTTACCAAGTATCAAGCCAAAATCCATAAAGCATACTTCTGGGACAGTGATGCTTGAAAATGCTAGACCATGGCAAATTTCTCCCTGATGTGTAATGCTCACAATGTTGAGGGTACATTGAGGGGCAAGATCCTCACATATCTCCTCATGTTGAAATCGCTCCTCCATGAAGCATGAGTGATGAGTAGTGTGTGATTCCATGATTATCAATACAAAAAGTCACAAAATTTTCAAAGACTGGGCAAGCAGTGTTGACCCATAATCCTCCCATTGGCAATGGGAGATGCTCCGGACCCTCATTCCAGGAGGCTTAGTTAAGTCAGTGCTGGTTGTGGAAGAATTACCCCCTTCTTCTCCCGGATGATCTAGACTAAAATAGCAATCCTGATCCCAATGGAAAAGGTGAGCCACATATGTTCTTATTCACTTAGTTAATTCCCGTCCAAACCAGAATTTATTATTCTACAATCTTCCCCTTCAGATGAAACCACACTCTCCGCATGTTTTATGTAGACTTGATGATGTAACAAACCCACATCCAAATTGGCTGGAGACTGTACTGTTATAGAGTGCACACCATCGCAGTGATCAATGATACAACTACAAAGAGCACAGAGGCCCAAATATCCGGGAGAGAATCCAGTTTGTGATATACTGCTTTGAAGACAAAACTCTTGTGTCAAGATATCATAGTGAAATTGATCTGTGAACTTTTGTGATATAACTTGATTACTTTTCTTTTTGGTGTTGTTGATTTCACTTATTTGATTGTGACTAGTGATGTATGTAAGTTGTCTGGTGAAGTTGTCCAAGTTATAACTTGATTCAGGTGATGAACAAGGGGGTTAGCACAAGTTGTTTTTTTGGTGTATCTCTAATTTAGACAGCCTTCTTCCGCTTGGGTTGTCTTCCCACCGGTGTGAGAACTCCTTTGGGATGGGTTGGCAGTCCTTGAGGGGGAAATAACAATAATGATATTTCACTAAGTAATATTTACTGTTACGGGTGGTTTGAAAGACCTGCCCCTCTATTTACTACACAAGAATTCTGACAACAATTTATTTTTATTGTTGTGGCGTAACTTTATGACAGAGAAAACTTTATATGTAGTAGTCTCTATCAGACCTAGATCAGTATGTAATTCAATACAAGATGGTTGTACAACCTTTACACGGTGAGTATGGGTGTGAAAACAATCCAAGTGGAATATTTTTATAGGGTTGTATGGTTTTTACAGTGATTCTGGATAAGTAGTGAAACTGTTAGTTGTTGTTGTTGGTGTTGGTGTTGGTGTTGGTGTTGGTGTTGTTGTTGTTGTTGCTTTTGTTGACTAGTCTTGAATGTTGATGACCACTGAGCTGGCTGGGGGGATGAACCGGCTGGGTGATGATGGGGGGAATTGGTGAAGGAGAGGCCTCCTTATATATTCTTTTCTGAGTTATTTTTGCTGGTGGTGATGCAGTTGAGGTGATTTTGCTGGTGGTGATGCAGTTGAGGTGATTTTGCTGGTGGTGACCTTGTGGGTTGCACTGCCTCCTGCAAAGAGTACATGCATTGAGCTAATTATGCTGTGGAAATAACTAAATATGGTACTACTGTATGTAAGGATTGCATAACTGGTTGCACTGCCTGGTGGAGGTTTTTCTGTCCACATGCATTTATGCAAAGTCTGCGTAAATTCAATTAAGTAACTAAGTGGAGGCCTAATGGTTGCACATATGCATGCAAGAATTGCATAAATGGTCTGCACTACTGGTGGAGGCCTTCTGATGTAATAATTTATGTGTATGAACTTATATATATGTGGTAAAAATACTATTAAATACTAATTAATGACTAGTTATGGTATGGCTTTAACCTTTATATTGGATTATCTTCTAAACTAATAGAGATAGAGGTATAGTTGTAGTGAGTGACTATGGGTAAAATTGTATGCAGATTCTGATTATGCAATAATATGTTCATATATGTAAGTGGTTTAGGTTGTAAGGTAGGGGTTTTGGCAGTTTTGTTGCGCACAACAGCCTGGACCACCACACCGGCTTCACATCTCCCATTGGAATCATCAAAGCCCACTGCTCAACTTTGCCTACATCCCCAATTTTGTGCTTTTATTTTTCCCCGTCTTTGGTATGATATTGCTGATATGTGAAGGTCAAATAGATATCAGATGGGACCACAAAGTAAAGCCTGGGGTCAGAAGGTTCAGACTTGTCCACCAGCTCTAGAAGAGCCTTGCTGAGGCCCTGATGCTTGATTGGAGGATGTTTCTCGGAAACCGTCACCTGAAAAAAATTTTCTGGTACTCCATGCAACAAATGATTGATGGCAGGTGTTTATTGAGCGGCTGCCAGAACACATTGGTGTGTAGGTTAACTTCTTTGTAAGTTTGGAAGGTTTGACATTTGGCTGCGGGAAACAAGACCTTAATGTTCTGGGTGTTCGACCGATTTCCTTTGCAAAGTTGACGGACTTGAAAGCTTCCACCACCTTGCAACACCTTGATTGCATATGGCTCATATAGCAGTCCACGTAAATTGCCACAGTTGAAAGCAATGTGGAGGAAGTCCTCAAGGTCATTGTGAAGTTCCTTTGCAACCTGCTCAGCCACTACACCCTCAACTCGGCAGGATGCCCATTCCAAGTGAAGCTGTTTGAGTTTTCCATTGGGGTGACAACAAATGTGGAGCACACAATGTGAATTCTTGGCCTCACAAGTTTGGTTCTGATGTGCTTTTATAAAGCCAATCACTCCCCCACCTCGGTTGATGGCTTGAGTCAGCTCTGCGACCAGAGGTTTGAACACCGCATCCTCATTGCCACCGAGTGCTTTGAATTGAAACGAGGCCAACTCAAGAACGTATCTTGGCACACCACCTTACCACTCGAAAAGCCGGGCCATGAGTGATGTGGGTAATGTCTCTTCATCTGGATAGAGAATGGATTTGCAATTTTTCAATTCCTCGTAACTCCATGGTGGCATATACAATAGCCTTGCTCGTTTTGTGAGATATTTTTGGTAATGCTTGCGCTTTGGAGAGGTGAGGAGGAGAGTCCAGGCTTTCACCACGGTTGGAGCTTGACCATCCACGATGTACACTGTGTCAGATTTTGCGAGAGCGTTGACGACAGCAGGAGTCCAAGGATCTACAACCCGTTCAACACCGTCTGATGTCATCAAATAGATTCTAGCAGGATCCTGCCCAATTTGGAAAAGTTTCCACACCACGGTTTGTCCCTTGCGCGCAGTTATCCACATGGGGAGTGATAATCACACTCCACCCCCCTTCGCGCACACACTCCAACACTCCCTTCTCTGAAGGGAGTGTGGGACCGCACTCCCATTGAAATTGGAGTGCGGGTCCGCACTCCAACTCTCTGCGCGGGCATTCCCCCAGCAGGTTGGCGTGCGGACCTGCACACCAATTGTGATTGGAGTGCAGTCCCACACTCCCCTTCTGAGGGGAGTATGGGAGTGTGCATGTGTATACTTCATACATATGTACATACTTCCCTGGGCTATACCATAGGACCCAAGGGCTGGGACTTATGGGATAGTCCAGGGGCTTGAGCCGTTGAGGCCGTTGTAAAAGAAAAGGATAATACCCAGAGGCTCCCAGCCCCAAGGATGGAGCAGTCTTGGGTCCGGGAAGGGATTCCACCCGGACCTTGAAATGGACGATGGCTGA